AGGGTCGGTCTGGAGAAGAGTCCGAGTCAGAATCTGAGTATGAGGAGTACACGGACAGCGAAGATGAAATGGAGCCACGTCTCAAACCGGTCTTTATTCGCAAGTAGGTGATGGAAGTGCATGGGCTGGCCCTGGATCGTGGTAGTCAGAAGCTGGGGCCCAAGGAGACCTTGCTGCCGTGGTCTCTTCTCACTGTGAGGAAGCCATTCACTTCCTTGGGGTGGGATGGGATGGTCACAGCCTGGCAGGGCACAGCTAGGGAGCAAGGAGCAATCCCTGCTCCCACCGCCCCGTATCAGTTGCATTGGGTTGCTGTGGAGTCTTACCAGAGCTCTTGGGCAAGGATGGCAAAAGGACGTGGTAGTCCCCAGAAAGGGGAGACCCCTGAGACTTGACCTGTCCTTGGAGAGGGCAAAGGCTGAAAGCAGCTGCAGTGTGGGAGCCAGCGAGAGGCTGAGAACTGCACTGGCTCATGGGAGGGCTGAAGGCTGTCATGGCTCTGCTCTCAGGAAGGACCGGATCACAGTCCAGGAGAGAGAAGCAGAAGCTCTGAAGCAGAAGGAGCTGGAGCAGGAGGCAAAGAGGATGGCAGAGGAGAGGCGCAAGTACACGCTTAAGGTGCGGAGGGGTGGGCTGGAGGCTGGAGGGGGCAGTCACTGCAGCAAGCTTAGCTTGGACCTCCCTGCAGATTGTAGAAGAGGAAGCAAAGAAGGAGCTGGAGGAGAACAAACGCTCACTGGCAGCACTGGATGCACTCGATACAGACGATGAGAACGACGAGGAGGAGTACGAGGCCTGGAAAGTCCGTGAGCTGAAGCGTATCAAACGAGACCGTGAAGAACGGGAAGCGTAAGTATTGTCTGGTAGACCAGAGGCTGAGAGCCCACAGGCAGTTAAAGCACCTTTTCCTCAGGCTGCCCTTTGGCAGCAGGGTCCCAGCTGGACTGAATGCCCAGAGCCCCTCCTGCCCGCCCTCGGCGTGCTCCCTAGCAGTAAATGTGTAAGCTCTGAGGTGGTGGCTGGTGACAGCCTCTCCCAGGAGATGCTGTGGGAACACAGGGTCTCAGGAGCTTCTCTCCCACCCAGCATGGAGAAGGAGAAGGCAGAGATCGAGCGCATGCGGAACCTGACAGAGGAGGAGCGCCGCGCTGAGCTCCGGGCCAACGGCAAAGTCATCACCAACAAGGCAGTAAAGGGCAAATACAAATTCCTGCAGAAGTACTACCACCGCGGCGCCTTCTTCATGGTGAGTGTGCTTAGGGCCAGGCCTGGCTGCAGGTGTGAGAGCACAGGGCCTCCTTTTCCCTGTGGGGAGCCTCTCCTCTCCCAGGAGCCCTGGGACAAGAGCCAACCTTCAGAGGCAGCATGGGGCTGAAGCTGCAGAGCTGTCCCTGTGCTGGTGTTTGGGCTGACAGACCCAGCCAGAACCAAGTCAGCTCCGCATGGGCCAATGCAGAAGCAGCCTGGGGAACAACACTCACATCCCCCACTCCAGCAGGAGTTAATAGGGCTGCAAGTGCTGTGGCAGCCCAGGCAGAGCAGCAATATGACCTTCAGGCAGCTTCCCCCACTGCTGCCAAGACTTGCTGGAACCTTTAAAGGCTGAGCAAGTATGTCTTCCTGCAGGATGAGGATGAGGAGGTGTACAAGAGGGACTTCAGTGCTCCGACCCTCGAGGACCACTTCAACAAGACCATCCTGCCCAAAGTCATGCAGGTGGGTGTCATGCTGGCAGAGGGTGCCCAGCCCATCTGCCAAGGGGTGGAAGTTCTGGGCAGGGGGGAGGAGCTGGTCCTGCATCCCCCCTGAACAGCTGCTCACAAGTTCCTCTGCTCCCCAGGTCAAGAACTTTGGGCGCTCAGGGCGGACGAAGTACACGCACTTGGTGGACCAGGACACCACCTCCTTTGACTCTGCCTGGGGCCAGGAGAGTGCACAGAACACCAAGTTCTTTAAGCAGAAGGCAGCGGGGGTGCGGGATGTCTTTGAGAGACCCTCGGCCAAGAAACGAAAAACGACCTAAGAGCACGGGCTGGAGGGTCTGGTGTGGCTGACGCCGGCAGGAGGGCACTGCTCTGCCAGAGCCTGGGCAGGACCAGGAGGGACGTGTTCCAGGACTCCTGTGGTGGCAAGCCTTTCCCCTGCCTGTACCATGCCTGCCCTGATGAGGTGTCCCACTCCCTGTGCTGAGCAGACCCGATGGGTTCCTTGCCCACACAGAGTGGAGGATGATGGCCTGTGGTGCTGGCCAGGCTGGTGGCCACACTATATCCCAGCAATGGCCACTGTGGAGCCTTGGCAGTGTCTGGCACATGGCAGCACCACCCCTGGCTCCAGCACATCACCTTCTGGAAGAATTACAGGACTTTTGCACCTCTTCTCTGGTCTACAACCCCTTGCTTGTACTGTCCCTGGTGTCAGTCTTGAGCCCTGTTTTGAGGTGGTCAGTGGTGACTTATCTCCTCACCATGGTTCTGCAGGGCTTGGCTTTTCTACCTGTGTGGGGTGGGAGGGTTTGATTAAAGATTCGATTTTCTTACACACTCTGCCCCCATTCTTCTTACAGACATGGCCATCCTGTTCTGCACCTTCCTTGAGGGCCATGGTGAGCCGGGGCAGCACAGGAGGCACCAGCCTGGGCAGGGCATGCATGGTCAGCTGTCACCACTGCCTCAGGCCTGGGCCTGTCCAGCCTGTGCTGCCCCAGGGGCAGAGATTAAAAGAGGGGAGAGCAGCGTGTCTCACTGCTGAGACAGGTCACCTTGTCCTGCTCTAGTGACAGGGGTGCCCAGCTGGCACGGCCACCACACTGCCACATGACTGGGCCCCACTTGTGGGTACCATCCACGCAGGGCCAGGGGCAAGTGCTCAGCACTGCAGACCACAAAGACAGCCCAGTCCCACCAGTGCCTTTATTGGTACGGCAAGAGGCGCGTGCCCGGCAGCCCATGGCCTCCCAGCTCAGTTGGTGAGCGTGATAAGAGCCTCCACCACGTTGCCCATGTGCTCGCGCAGGCTGCGCTCCGCTGCGGCCCGTGATATTTCCATCTCTGTCATCTGCAGAAAAACAGGCACAGCCCCGTACAGCAGGGTCCTGCAGGCTGGGCAGGGGCGCTCGGGACACCCACCCACGGGAACGCCCACCCACGGGGACACCGGACTGGCCTCAGGGCAGGCAGGCACCGGCCTCCTCCGTGGGTGCAGCTTCGCACCCAAGATTTGGGACATGTCACAGCCTGCTTGGGGTGCCGCCCCTACTCACAATCAGCTCTAGATCCTCCTTCTTGATGGTCACTTTTGCCAGTTCTTTCTCCCTACGAGAAGAGATGGATAAACCTCCGGTGACCAAGAGTCCCCGCTGGCACTGCCCCGGTGCTCCCTCGGCCGTGAGGCGGGCGGGAGCGACTCCCCGCAGCAGCGTGGGCTGGGCGGGGGCCGGGCAAGGGCCGGGGTGTCAGACAGGGAAGAGGATGCCGCGTCCCGAGTGGTGGCAAGTTGCAAGACAGGCGCTGCCCCGGAGCGAGCGCGGACTGTTACCTCTCCTGCTTGGCTTTCTGCTCCCGGGACCTCCGGTCTCCGATCACCGACATAGCCTGCCAGAAGGAGCGCGGTCACCCCGCTGCGCGGCACCGGGCGGGTCAGCGCCGCGCCGGCGGCACGGGCACCGGCACCGGCACGGGCACGGGCGTGCAGGCGCGCTGGTCAGCGCCCGGCTCGGCCCCGCTGCAGGCAGCGCCCGGCCTCCCACCCCGGCCCGGTCCCGTCCCGCCGCCGCACCGTCTCCAGGTTGGAGCTCTGGATCTCCTTCTCCTCCGCGTAGTCCGTGACGCGCTCCAGGTCCGCCGCGCCGCTATCGTGCTTCCGCGGCTTCTCGGCCGCGCGACCGCCCGCCCCATCGCTGCCGCCGCCGGAGCCGTTGGGCTCCGTCTCCAGCTCCAGCTCCACATCGCCCTCCGCCGCCATGCCGCCGCCGCCGCGGCCCGCTTCCGGTCACGTGCGCCGCCAGCGGAGGCGGCGAGAGGTGCGCGCCGCCAGAACCGAGCGCGGGCGGGGCCAGCTCCAGGCCCGGCCCCGCCGAGCGGGCACGGTGCGCGCTCTCGGGGCTCCGGGCAGCTGGGAGCGAGCAGCGCCGGCACTGCCGGGCTTTGCTCGAGGGCAGCGGGCCGCCGGCGCTGCCGAGGCGCGGAGCCGGCCGGGCGGGCGCGGCCCCGCCGCTGCCCGCGAGTGCCCCTGGCGGTGCAGCGGGATTGCCGGTCAGGAGCCCGCCATGGCCGCCGCCGCCGCACACGGATGGTCGGACGGGGCAGGCCGCAGCGGGGCCCGGGCCGGGTGCCCGGGCGCTGCCGGAGGCGAGAGGCGGCCGAGCTTCCCCGTGCCCCGGTGCCGGGCCGCCCGAGGCCGTGCCGCGGGCACAGGCCGCCCGCCCCCGCCGCTCCCTTCGCGCGCGCGTCTCGCATGTCACCCGGTGGGGACGGCGCGTCCCTCGGGCCGGGCCGTGTGTGGTAGCGGGGCATCCGTGTCACCGCCGTGCAGCCGCGGCCCCGGCGTCCGCCGCGTCTCAGGGCTCTGCCAGCGCAAAGCCCGAGTGGCTGTGGAGCAGCTGAAGGAAGGTGATGCCAGCCCCAGCGTAGAGCCCCCTGCATCCCCTTGCTTGTCCCCAGCTCCTGCCCACCTGGGGCATCCTGCTGCCCGCTGGACGTGCTTCATGCCGTCCCACTCCCCAGCGAGGTGCCGGTCCCTTGGGTGCCTCTGTGCCCGGGGCTGCTGCCCCCTCCAGTAAACTCCACATTCCCAGCCCCTCCACACAGCTGTATGCTACTGCTCTGGCATCAGGGAGACATCAGACCCCAGGTGCCCCTCAGGCAAGCTCATGTCCAGGCCACCTGCCAGGGCCTCGTCTGCCCAAGCAGGGACCAGCGTCTGGGCAGAGATGCCCATGGCCAGGAGTCGCTGGACAGTGCCCACTGAGCACCCCAGGGGTGGCTGCCTGCAGGGAACAGCGAGCAGATGGCAGGGCGGGCCGAGCTGACAATCCCCTAATCCCATCAACGCCGCGGGGGCTGAGCAGAGCCGAGCTGGGCCATGGCGGGCACAGCGGTGCGGGGGCACCTCCTGCACCCGCTGCTATTCCAGGTGGGACTTGGGGTCTGGCGGGGCTGGGAGCACAGCTGGGAGCGAGGCTGGGTGGGTAGGGTGTGCTGGGCCAGGCTGGAGCGGTGCTGGTCCCTGGGATCCCCACTGACTGTGCCCCTCCCCAGCTCTGCTGCGGCTGTCACGGGCTCCGCGTGTCCACGAGCACGCGTGTCCTCTACACGCTCCTGCATGTCCTGGCCTCTGCTGTGTGCTGCCTCATGCTGTCCCGCACTGTGGCCCAGGCTATCACGGAGAAGGTGATAGAGGGAACTGGGACACCCAGGGTACCGGGAGTGCTGGGGATACAGGGGTGCCCGGCATGTCAGGGCACCCAGAGGAGCACTGGGCATGCCAGAATTGCCATGGGCATCAGAAGCACTGGGATTCTGAGGATACTGGGATAGTGACAGGGCTGCTGGGAGTGCCAAGGGTGCTGGAGGTGCCAAGGGGGAAGGGGTTGAGGGGTACCAGAAATGCAGGATTTGCCTGGCTGCTGGGGTCTCAGCAGTCCCAGGGTACTGAGAAAGGTATTGGGAATGGTGGGAATATCATAAATTTGGATGCGCTGGATGCCATGGGCACTGGGGGATGGTGGGTGCACACACCAGCAGCCCTGTCCCATCAACCACCGTGCCTGCCAGGTGCCCTTCTCAGTGGTGCTGTGCCAACACCTGCCCGGGGGCACAGACTGCGAGCAGCTGGTGGGCTCCTCGGCCGTGTACCGGGTCTGTTTTGGCACTGCCTGCTTCCACCTGGCACAGGCTGCCCTGCTGCTCAACGTGCGCTCCAGCTCCGACTGCCGTGCGCAGCTCCACAATGGGTGAGGATGGGCCATGGGGCTGGGACAGGGTGGCCTGGGATGGGGCTGCCCTGGGTGGGGCTGCCCTGGGTTTCCCCCCGACGGGCTCTGTCCTACTGAGGTTAACTGCCCTGCAGGTACTGGCTGCTGAAGCTCCTGGTGCTGGTGGGCCTCTGGGCTGCAAGCTTCTTCATCCCTGAGGACAACTTCATCCAAGGTGTGTCCCCCACACTATCTGAGCTGGCATCCTGGGCACCCCTCTTGGCCCCCACTTGTCCTGTGCCATCTCTACCTCTGCCCTCTTCCCCCAGCCTGGCACTACACAGGTGTCTGTGGGGGCTTCGCCTTCATCCTCATCCAGCTGGTGCTGATCACAGCCTTTGCACACACCTGGAACAAGAACTGGTGAGTGCTGGGGTGCTGGGTGGGTACCTGCCCACTGCCCCTGCTCATCCACTCTTCTGCAGGCTGACAGGTGCTGCACAGGACAAGCGCTGGTATCTGGCTGTGCTGCTGGCCACAGCCACCTTCTACACCCTTGCCTCTGCCGCCTTCTCCTTCCTCTACAAGTTCTACACCCACCCAGCCGCCTGCCACCTCAACAAAGCACTGCTTGCCATCAATGGCAGCCTCTGCGGCATCATGTCCTTCATCTCCATCACGCCGTGTGTGCGGCTCAGTGAGTACCACACAGCACAGCGTGCTGGGGGCTGCCAAGCTGCATGGCCAGCTGTGTCCTGGCTGGGGTGACTGTGGGCCCCAGCTCAGGGCCAGCACTTGGGCACTGGAGCAGAACCCAGTTCCCCGGTTCCCGCTGGCCCTTCCCGTGCTTGGCACAAGGCGCTGGACGGGTGAGTGGCAGGAGGGGACTGCCCAGGGCCCACTCAGAGCCCCACCCAGCAGCTCGCATTACTCCAGGAACTCCAGTAACACCTCCATCCCCACTCTCGCAGGGCAGCCGCGGTCAGGGCTGCTGCAGTCCTCAATCATCAGCTGCTATGTGATGTACCTCACCTTCTCTGCGCTGTCCAGCCGCCCCCCAGAGAGAGGTGGGTGTCCCTGCCCACCACCAGCAGTCCCCGCCATGATGCATGCCCTTCTCACCTCCACCTCCCTGCAGTGCTGTACAAGGGGCAGAACCTCACTGTCTGCTTCCCGGGGCTGCGGCAGGATGAGCTGCAGACAGAGGACACCACCGTGGCCGTGCTGGGTGCTGCTATCATGTATGCCTGCGTGCTCTTCGCATGGTGCGTGGTCCCTGCCCGGGCACGCTGGGGTGCCAGGGCTGTGCTGAGGGCGGCAGGACAAGAGCAGGTGGGGCACTGGTGGGTGGACAGGGGCAGCACAGCAGAGCTCCTGTGGCCGGTGGGAATCCATGGGGCAGGCTGGGAGCCTAGCAGAGGGTGATGGGTGCCTGTGTTATGATTTCTGCCTCTCTCCTGGGCACAGCAATGAAGCTTCATACCTCGCTGAGGTCTTTGGGCCCTTCTGGATGGTCAAAGTCTACAGTTTTGAGTTTAAAGTGAGTATGGATGCAGCTGTGCTCCACATCCTCCTGCTATGGGCACCCCAGACCCACCACCTCAAGGCCCTGTCCCAGTCTCAGAGAGGGGCAGCTCTTTCTAGCCAAGCACAGAGGGCTGCCCACACCACCTGCCATGGCATAAGGCAGGGCTCAGTCTGGCCTTGGTGGCCACGGGGCTGGGCAGTCACCACTCTGCTCTCCCTGCAGAAACCTTCCTGTTGTTTCTGCTGCCCTGAGAAGATGGAAGAGGAGCTGAGAGGTGAGTGGAGTGTCTGTGTGGGAGAACGGGCAGAGCCTGTGTTCCAGCCTGGGAGTGCCATGTCCCCACACTCCCCCAGGCACCGATCAGACATGTGAGCAAGTAGAGGAGAGTGCCAGGGGACAGTTCATCATCCAGGATGAGCAGGACCGGGTGGTCTACAGCTACTCAGCTTTCCACTTTGTCTTCTTCCTTGCCTCGCTCTATGTTATGATGACACTCACCAACTGGTTCAGGTAGGGCTCTGTGCTGCTGCCCAGCCCTCCCTGCCCTCACTCCAAACCTCTGTGCTGGGCCGTGATGGCAACACCGAGCTGGCACCTGCTGGGGATGCTCAGGCCCTGTGCCCACAGACCTGCACTGCTCCAGTGGCAGCTGTGCAGCGCAGCAAGCAGGGCTGGAGGGACATGCCCAGGGGCACATGGCCACTGGGACACAGGGTGATCTGGTGGCTGCAGCTGGCACGGGAACCCCCTGTGCTGGCATCCCAGTCCTGCCCTCTCCCACCAGCTATGAGAATGCGGTGCTGGAGACCACCTTCACACATGGCAGCTGGTCAACCTTCTGGGTGAAGGTGTCCTCGTGCTGGGCTTGTGTCCTGCTCTACCTGTGGCTGCTGCTGAGCCCCTTCTGCCTCCAGGGCTCCCCACAGCACCAACGCAGCAGTACAGGGCCACGCATCGTGCGGCGCCGACGTGCTCCACAGCGCATCAACGTCTCCACATAGCCCCTGCCAGGACAAACTGCACCCAGGGCTGGTCCCTGCTGTGCCCCGTGCCTGTGCCCTAGCCCTGCTTGGTCCTCCTGGCCTCCCCTCACCCCTGTCCCAGGAGACAGCAGCACCTGAGAGCCTGAGGGGAATATGGGAGGTGGATGCTCCCAGGGATACTGGCCCTGTGCTGAGCCAGGGCCACCCAAAGGGCCAGAGCCAGCTGGTGGCAGGAGCTCAGCCCGCAGCCTGGTTGCCCTGGCCTCACTGAGTGCACTGGGGGAGCAGGGCTCTGCCCTGGCTGCCACGGTTGTGGTGCATTCACTGTAAATACCTGCTTCAATACATTTTTATATAAAACTCTGAACTGTGCCATTGCCCTGCGCAGCTGCTGCCATGGGGATGGAGGGAGGGGGTGCCAGCCCTGTGGAACACCCCGAGTCAGCAGCACTGCTGCAAGTCCCCACAGAGCCTGGCCCGGGTGGGGGGTTCTGCCAGACCCCCGTGCAGGCAGTGCAGGCTGTCCTCTGGGGAAACAATGCCTTGCTCGTGCCTGCTGCAAGCACAGGCCACTGGGCAGCCTGCCACAGCCACTGGCAGTGCTAGAGAACCCCCTGCCACCCTTCTGTCCTGCAGTCGAGCAGCCACAGCCATTGACGCTGGTGGGGCACAAGACGGACCTGCAGCCTGGTATGGCCAAGGGGGTCCATACAGGGACCGGGGCAGCTGGCCATGGTGAGCAGCAGCTCCTCAGGGCCCCCCAGAGCCCCACTGACACCCGCTGCCAGCCCCAGGCTGCCCGCTCTGCGAGACCAGCGCCAAGGACGGCACCAGCGCGGTGGAAGGCGGCGCTGCATCCGGCTCGGCGAGGAAGCCAGGCTGCCGCGGGACCCGTCGCCGCGCTGCCGGATCGGGCTGACGCCACTATTGTTGCCCTGCAGGGAGGCGGAAAGGCCGATCGGCACCGGCCGTAGCCCCGGGCTGGACCCGCGGCCACGCAGAGGGCTCCGCGCTGCTGCCGGACGGGCAGCCACAGCCGGGCCCGCCCCGGCCGTGCCGCAGCGCGGCTCTCCCCGCTGCGCAGGCCCGGCCGCCATCTCTGCGAGCGGCCCGGAGCCCGGGCTGCGCCACGCCGGCCAGCTCCGCTCCTCGGGCCGGCCAGCTCCGCTCCTCGGGCCGGCCAGCTCCGCTCCTCGGGCCGGCCAGCTCTCCCAGCCGCCCCGGGCCGCCCGGCCCTCGGCCCCCGCGGCGACCCCCTCTGCTGCCCCAAGGAGCGCCCAGCCCGACCCCACCTTTGTTCCTCACCGCCAGGATGCCGCCGCTTGACTCTGCCACGGCCGCGATTGCTCCGCCGGTAATACCCTGGCTCGCCCACCCCCCGCCCGGCGCACGGACGAGCAGACGCAGCGTGCAGGGCTCCACAGCTACTTTAATAGGGTACGGCGCCGCAGGGCGCGGGCGATGCCGGGGGTCCCGGCGGGACCGGCCCCGGGGCGGCGCGGGGCATCCTGCCGGCGGGACCGGCCCTGGGGCGGCAGCCCGGCGCGGCCGCCCGCTACTTGTTGCCCTCCTTCTTCTCGTCGGCCTTCTTCTGCTTCTGCTGCATGATCTCCGAGTCCCTGCGGGGAGCGCGGCGGGGCTGGCGGCGGGGCCGGCACCGCCGCGGGGCGGGAGCAGGGAGCGGGGCAGGGGAAGCCGGCGGGCCGGCCCGGCGCTCACCTCTGCTTGCGGGCGGCAGCCGAGAGCCCGTCGTCCCGCCGCTTGCCCTTGCCCGAGTCGCTCTGCTTCTTCAGGTTCTTCTGCCGCGCCAGTTCGCGCTGGTTCCCGCCTGCCACAGCGCGGCCGCCTCAGCGCGGCCCGGGCCCGCTTGCGGGCCGCGGCGCCACCCCCAAGCCCCGCTCCGAACACTGCCCGCAGGCTGGGTCACGGCGCGCCGGTGGACCACGGCACGGCCCCTGACCCCGGCCCCACCGCACTGCTGGGTCCCAGAGCAGCCTCCCACCACACTCGCCAGCCCCAGCCCCCTTTCCTTCCTTCCTTCCCCCCGACTCACGAGCCATGGCGCCGCTCCCTCCCACCTCCACTCCACCGCCACGTCCCGCACTGACCCCCCCTGCGCCCCGCCCCGCGCCGCGCTTTAAGGGACGCCACAGCCAATCATTGCGCCGATCCATCCTCCGCTGCACTCCCATTGGCGCGTCTCTCCGGCAAGGCCCCGCCTGATTGGCCGCGGGCTATGGCCTCCCTTCTGCCGGCGGGGGCGAAAAAGCAGGAAGGTTGGGCGCACGCGCCGCAGCCGCCTCCGCGCGACAGGATGCGGGGCGAGGGGGAACCGCCCCCCGCCGTGACGTCACGAGGCGTGCGGGAGCGCTGCCAGGGGAGAGCGGTGCGGGACGGGAGCGGTGCGGGACGGGAGCGGTGCGGGACGGGGACCGGGGCGCCGCCCCGCCCCTGCCCCAGCCCTCCCCCGCCCCAGGCAGTGTGGGGCGATGTGGGGAGGACGGTATGAGAGCTCTTCTATCTCCTTGGTCAGGCTCTGGGGCGCTGCGGGGCCGCTCAGATCGCTCCTTCCGCCGAGGGCGGTGGGGGGGATCTACAGGGAGGGACGGCTGTAAGCGCTCTCCGTGCCACGAGGCTGCGGGACGAGCACCCGTCCCTGCACAGCCCAGCTCGCCTACGCACGCGGGGCCCGGCGGCGGCTCCGGGTCGTGGCGGGGATTCTGCGGGCCGGTGCTGGATGGAGGGCTCTGGCGCTTCGCCAGCCGTGAGAGCTCGGTGTGGATCACCTGCGGACGAGGGGCGGCTGCGGTGGGACACCCGACCCACCGATTCCTGCGGGATCCTCTTCCTCCCCGTCGCTCCTAGTACCGGGTGCTGCCCGCCCTCGCACCCCGCCTCCCGCACCTTGTTGGCCGGGTCCAGCTCCAGGGCTCTCTTCAGGACGAGCGCCGCCTCTGCGTCCCGGCCCTGCTCCGCCAGCAGCTGCGGGGAGAGGAGCGCTCGGTGGCCAGACGGCCGGGCCGAGGGGAGCGGGGCCGTGCGCGGCGAGTCGCACCTGCCCGCGCCGGAGCAACGCCCGGCCGTTGTCGGGGCTGATCCGCAGGGCCGCCTCGCAGGCCGCCAGCGCCTCCTCCGCCCGCCCCAGCTTCAGCTCGGCGGCCGCGCAGTTGTTGAGGCACTTCACGCGCTGCTCCCGCAACTCCTCTTCCTCCTCGGGCCCGGGCGGAGCTGCGGGGCGAGTGGCGGCCTCAGCGCCCCAGCCCCGCAGCCCCGGGCCCTCCCTCCCGTCCGGTCTCACCGGCGGCGGGGCCGTCCAGGGCGAGCAGGGACAGCCGGTACGATCGCAGCGCCGCGGCGAAGTCGCCCCGCGCGAAGTGGAAGTTGCCCCGCTCCCGGCGCTGCGAGCCCAGGCGCAGGCGGACGGCGGGCGGCAGCGGCTGCGGGTCGGGGCCGTCCCGCACCTCTAGCAGCGTCACCTCGAACAGCAGCGGCGCCTCGGGCGGCACGTCGGGCTCCCTGCTGGTACAGCGCCGGCTGCCCGCGACCCCTGCCCGCCCCGGTCCCCTGCCCGGCCGGCCCCACCGGCTCTGGTCCCTCTGTCCTCGCCTGTCCCTCTTGTCTGCCCGCCCCGGTCCGGCTGCCCTCCCGCCCCCTGCCTGCTCCATTCCCCCGCCTGCTCGGTCCCCCTGCCCGCCCGCCCTACCTGCCCGGGCGACCGTAGGCGTAGGGGAAAGCGGCGAGGAAGAAGGAAACCTCCCCGGGCTGCATGGTGGGGACGCCCAGCTCCAGAGCCTGTGGACGGGCACGGCGGGGCTGGCGGGTCGGAGCCCGGGGCGGCGCTGAGCCCGCTCGGCACTGAGCCGCGCACCGGTTCGGGCTCACCTGCACGACGTCCCCGTGACCCGGCACGAAGATGAGCCGCGGGTCCCGCTCCACCAGCCCGCCGTCCTCCAGGGCGCCCAGCACCTTCACCGACACCTCCTGGCCCGGCAAGGGCCGCGGCCCGCCCGGCCCGGCCCGCACCACGCGCTTCCGCAGCAGCCGGTCCTCTGCGGGGGAGGAGGCGCTGACAGCCAAGCCGGTGTCCCGAAACTGGCACGCCTTGCCCGACTCTCCCGGTACCGGCCCTGAGACCGCCCGTCGGCGCTCACCCGTCAAGTCGCTCCAACCGTCGGAAGCGAAGAGCGGCCCGAAGCCGCCGGGCCCCGGCACTGCCAGCGCCTCCAGCCGCCGGTAGAAGAGCCGCTCCTCCTCGCGCACCGACGGCACCGTGATGGCGGTGTGGGGCAGCCGGAACCGCACCCGCCGGTCCCGGCCAGGCCCCCGCGGCCGCCCGCCGGCCTCTGTTTCCCTCTCCGGGGACCCGCCGGGCGACGGGCCGGGCATGTCCGCCCCCGGCCCTCCTCCCCCCCCGCCGCTACCTGCTGGCCTCGGCCCGCGCCCGCCCGGGGCTCGGCGGCGGGTGCCCACGGCCCCCAGCCCGCACCGGGCGTGCCGCCGCCGGTCCCGCCGCGCCGCGACTGCCGGGGGTTGCCCGGGCCGGGGACACCGCGGAGCGCATGCCGCCGCACCGTTACCTAATGCCGGGAAGCGGCTCAGGGGATTAGTCCGGGCCGGCGGCAAAAATAGCCGGCACAGGGCGAGCCTCGCCACGGGGCTCCCGCCACCCGCCCCCGCCCCTCGGGGCCGCCCCCCGCCGCCGTCGCGCGGTCAGGCGAAGCCGTGGCCGGGCTTCTCCGGTACCGAGGCTGCGGGCCGGGTTTTTGGCTTATCCCAGCTACCAGCAGAAGAATCACTGTGAATATCTCCAGCCAAAGATCACATCAAAAGCCTGGTTCTGCAAGAAGCGGACCTCCCAACCAAACTGTTGCTACCGTTCTTTGCTTGCTCATCCGGACCTGTCTTTGAAGCAGTGCCAGCTGCTCCAGCTGCCCTGAAGCACCTGGAGCCAGCTCATTCCCTGCTCCCTGGAGGGCCACGGCTGCATGGGGACAGGCAGAAACAAAGATCTGATCTTCGGCTAAGGCCTGAGGCAACTCTGAGGGAATGTTACTTTGGGTGGGGGCTCCCCCCTTACACAGGACCAGCTCTCCATGCAGGTCTCACTGAAAGAAAGGTCTGTAGCCATCCTTTGGAATGGCTTTGCCAAGTACTCCAGGCAGCAAATATACAAATCCTTCATCAGATACCTGTTTCTCAATTGAAGCTCAGTACCTTCAGTGCAGTTGCAGCACAGTGAGGGACATCTGGGCAGCGACCAGCACAGCCCTTCCTCATCTGTCCATCCTGCCAGAAAGTTGCCCCAGGCCTGTGCTAACTTCACCCAGGCTGCTCTGAGCAGCTGCAGTGGTGCTATGGGCCAAACATGCTGAAGAGTTTTATCTGTGTTCAGTGCCCCAGCTGCCACCTGGTCAACAGTCACAGAGCAGGGAGCAAAGCCAGGATTAGAACCACTTCCCTGGCTCTCCTTGGCTTGATGGAGAGCACTGTCCTGCCCACCAAGGAAGCAGCACTCCAGTTTGGTGTTAGATGGGTAATTGTCAGCTGTCAGTGGAGCTGACTACTCCTGCACCAGCTTCAAAGCTCATTTGTTGCTGCTGCTGAGCGAGGCCCTTGCCAGCCTGCTCCATGTGCCTGCACTGCTGCGATCCAACAGTCACAGAGAGCACCCTGGACTCCACAGGGCAGCACACAGCACTGTGTGACCACAGTTCCCCAGTCCAAAATGCGTGTAAGTGCAGCACCCAAAGCCCAACACATTGGGACAGCTGTTGCTGCTACATTCTGGAGGGGCTCGGGCAGCTGAGGAAAGAGGACAATGGGCTAGAAGCTGAACTCAGTGGCTAGGAGGGCTCACTGCAGGGAACAACTGGAAGCAGGAAGCTGCTGCCTATGAAGAACAGGATCCCATTTCTAGGTCTGATGGGCTTCCCCAGGACAAGGACACTTGGTCTTAAGGGGGTCATTTTATTGTTTCACTTCTCCAAATGTACAAAAAAAATTAGAAAATAATTGTACCCCCACCCCCTCCCAAACCACGAAACAAACCTGGGGAGCCCCACAACAGTGCAGCTAAAAGAGACGGCAGGAAATTAAACATTACTAGGTACAGCAGCTGGGGCCCCTCAGCCCACATGGCCACTGGCTCTCCACAGCCCAGAACTGGCCCCAATCTGACCAGTGCTTCCCCAATTCACACAGAGCTCATCCTGACAAGGTGGCAAGTAGGTACTTTACAAATCCTCCTTCACCTTCTTCTTGGATTTCTTGGATTTCTCTTCCTCCTGCAGCACGGGAGTGTTGGTTGCCTCCCGCTTCAGGTAGCTGATGAAGTCACTCACTTCTCTGCCCCCCTGCAGAAAGCAAATGACAGTCAGGCAGGACCTGTACCCAGCATGGACTTCCCTTCTCCTGAAGGGGGTTCAGGTGCCTGGCAGGAGACCCAGGTGACTGCAAGCAGAGTTCTTCCCAGGGCCAACAACACAAAGTACAATGCTCCCAGCAGGTACTCTCAGGTGTGTTCCCAGGGTAACAGGACACAGTGCCACCCCCAACTCCAAAGAGGCTTAAGTACAATTAGAAAACCTGGATGCTCTTCACTTCTCTATAAAGCATGAAGAACAGCAAAAGTCTCACCTCATACTTCTTTGGACTCTGCTTCTTGCCAGCTGGAGCAAAATAGATGGTGGGGAAACTGGAGAGAGAAGAAACACATGAGCTCCTGAGATGCTCTGATTTCTATCAGACCAGCCCCAACTGAGGGGACTCGCACCCTGCACTGCCCTGGTTTAACATGGCACAGCTTCAATGGCTCTGAGGCACCAGGTGTGGCCTTCAAGAGCCCAGCAGATCTGGCTGAGCTCACAGGATCAAGTTTGCTAGCTGAACTGCTTTTGGAACAGCAAGCCCAGATTTGTTTTCACACTGCCAGGAACAGAATCTCAGCAGATTCCAAAGCAGCAGGACAGACCTCCAGGCAGAGCCAGGACACCAGAATCCTGGAGAAGCCAGGCAGATCAGTGTATTTTGTTTTCACTCTTGACTTATCCACATCAAGCCATTGCGCAGCAGTCACCTAGCTGTTGCCTGGCAGCCCCCACACCTCTCCCCATGAGGCTCTTTCAGCTCTTCAGTGCTGTGCCTGAAGTCAGACAGAGAGGGCCTCATGCACTGACATGTGCTGTCACAGCAGTCAGACCTACCCTCGGACTTCATAGGGAGAAGGCACATCATTGGCTGTAGCATCCATTTTGGCAATGACGATATTGGGATCTTTGCTGAGCTGTGGGTAGAAAGAACCAATCAGTAACCAATTCCAAAATCCAGGAACCCAGCAGTCAGCATGATCTGGGACAGTGTTATCAGAGGACAGTGCACAGGGAATGCCACTTCACCAACCCCCACTACATGGGAGACTATCATCGTGCAGAGCGAAAAGACCCAAAAAGCAACTTGGGCAGTTGAGGCCAGTCACTGAATCTGGGAATATTCCTGTGCCCTAGCCAGTAACACAGACTAAATACACAGTGTGGTTGCTACCACAGATCCTGCTTCAAGATACCTACACTCCACAAAGGGACTAGAATTTGTAGCCCTCAGGAAGGCACAATTAGGCCCCTTATCACAGAGGCTAGAAAGGACCTGCAGGACCATTTAGTGCTGTTAAATTCTAGTTCACATTTGCAAGAATCTCAGACTTACCTTCTCCCCCAGTTCTTTGTATTTGGGCTCCAGATTCTTGCAGTGGCCGCACCACGGTGCGTAGAACTCTATCAGGACATCTTTGTCTTGTGCATTAACAATTTCATCAAAGTTCTCAGCCACCACCACCTGTAAAGGTTGATCACACCAGTTAGTTCTTTCCAAGTCAGAGATGAGGCAATGACATGACATGCTCCACACGCTCCACCCAAGCCTGGGTCTCCCACACCTGCACAGTGAGCAGCAGAACCAAACACAGCACTCCTCATCTGCACCGTGCAGGTAGAAACCTGCCATAAGTTACCAGCACTACCTCCAAGTGAGGTCTGCAGATGATGTCCTTGCAGGAATATAAAGCCATTTCTTTTTAATCTCAGCAAGCAATCAGCAGGACTGGCTGAGGCCATCCCCATCACCCCAAAAACATCTGTGAATCCTGTGACCTGTACTCCTGTGTAAGGCTCTCATCAAAAAGCCAAGCCAGGGAATGCTCTTACTCAGGGTAGAATTGCCTGGGAGGGTGAAAGGCAGGAATTATACCAGATCCCAGTGAGGAGATGAACAGGGAAATCCCTGAAATAGTGCAGTCACAACCAACAGGAAGACCATGGCCTGAAGGAGTGAGCACAAACCAAAAGGGCAGGCCTCTGTGTAAGCCCTGGAAATCTGGATGCTGCTGCACTCACAAAGCACATAACTGCTGGGGCCAAGCAGCAGTTACTATGCTGGGGGAAAAAAAACAGAACCCAAACTGCAAGCTGCATGTCTCCCTCACCTCAGAAAACTGCAGTGGAACAAGGGAGTGAGCAATTCCTCTGTCTATCAGCACAGAGGCCTCTTGAGCTGCCACCATGCCTCGCTCCCAGCACTTTGCACAGGCACAGGAAGCTGCTGCTGAGCAGTGTCTGCAGCTATAAGCATCACTCACCTTTACAGGGCCATCATTGCTTTCAGGGACAGGCTCTGATTTCAGGTATTTTTTCAAGTTTCCATCAAAGTAATCTTGCAGGAATCTCTCCAGAGCCTTTCCGTCACGGCTGAAAGAAAAGTGATGTTACAGCCATCATCACACACACAGGATGAGAGAGGGAAACTTTCAAGGCTTATTTAAGCTACTTCCACCCACACAACAGATGCCACCTGCATCTCTGACAGCACCAGTCTGGGGCTGGCTTAGTAGACCCCAGAACAAGTGCAGCGATGTCCTTAAGGGCTCTGACAGGCGGCTGGATGCACATCCCATTCAATATTTTAGGCCTTCTAGCATTCTTCAGGTTTTTTTCAAAATGAAAGGTACAATGAATTCTTCTACCCTTTATTGCACCCTGATTCCTAACCAGAATTTCAGGATCTGGAACTGAATTCTCTCCCTTTGTATAACAGGAGGGGCTGCAAGCTTTCTAGAGAGCAGAAAAAAACATGAGCAAGAGTCATTTTGACCCAGCAAGTGCTTCTTCCAGCTGCAACAGCCAGCTTTCCTGTTTCCTCAAAGCTAACAAAGTATCATCTGGTCAGAGACCTCTAGACCAAAGTCCATCAAATGAGACCCATTACCATCAAGTTCAAGAACTCACGAGAACTCTTCTTGCATGACATATTTATCTCCTTTGGCAGTTCTGATGGCAACGACGGGGGCCTCACCCACACTGCTGTCTAGACCAAACTCAGAAAGCTCGTGGCCAAAGGTTTTTCGACTAGCAACAGCATAAGACAGTTTGTGGCCAGCATCCAAGAACTTCTTTGCAATCATCATAACTCTGAGGGGAAAAAATAAACAAAAACACAAAGCATTATTTCTTTGAACATGTTCTTCTACATGATGTAACACCCTTCAAGATGACATACACACTGGGCTAGGAATTCAGTGGCACAATGTGCTCTTCAGAGCCAGGTCCTGTAGAAACAGTGCTGAGAAGCAGACCAGCAGACTTGTGTCTGTGTGATCGAGGCAAGAGTTGTGTGTTTCCATCCTCCACCTGCGTGACCCCAGGGTCTCAGGCATGAAGGGCAGAACTGCACACCACAGCAGTGAGGCAGTCTGTGGGTAAGGTCTAGGTTCCTAAGGACCAGGGATCCAAGAGCAATCACACAGCATTTCAGAGGACTGTCACCCAAGCTGTGGAACCGCAGCAAGGCAGGAACAGTGCGAGGCTGATTTACCCCACCACTCCCACCTGTTGCGCCAGTAGTTGGATCCCTTGGCATTCTTCTCATAGTCAACGTCGTAGTATGCCACCAGCAAGTCCTTGCCCTGGATCAAGTCTTTGTTGTCTTCAGTCATGTGAGGGCAGATGCCAAAGCTGTCAACGAGAGAGGAATTAGCAGAGCCCATGACCCCTGAACAGGCCTGACACAGCACACTTGCTTCCCACCCAGGAGTTAAATGCCAGTGATCAATCAGGCCTCAGGAAGAAATGCTCTGCTCATTCCTGTACCAGGTTTTTCTGTGTCAAATCTCCATCTCCTGCCACATCAGTGGCTAGAGCTGACCCAGTTAAGGCCAAAGCTAGCACAGCTCTCACAGGTTCAGTTTTTAAACAGAGTCATGGTTAGAATATGGAGAGTGCATGCCAACAGCCACGTCAGGATTTCAGGAAGGTGTCCCCAAAGGGAAGAAGTGCCAAGACAGGCAGCAGAGGTGGCAGCAATGAGAAAACAAGCTCTGACAGGGCCAAAGCCAACTGGGGCCAGTCTGTCACATTTGTTGGTGAGGAATCACTCACATGTTCTCCTGAATGAATTTCTTGATCTTTGCACTGGTGATTTTGTCTTCTGGATACTTGACAGAGCTCTCCTCAAACTTGTTGGTCAGGCGTGGAGGACGGAATAGGACTATACCTCTGTGGGGAAGCAGGTATTGTGAATTAGTTCAAAGTGTCCCTGGGAGTCCAAGGACAGCAGCCAGATGAGGCAAAAACCCACTCTCCAGTGACAATCACCACTCACCATTCACAGCTCAAACAACACTGTCTAGTTTCTTGGTGGCACTAGTGCATTAGCTGTACCTGTCAGAGCCTTCTTCATTATTCAGACAAGCCACAATGAGAAACAAAACTCTCACCATAACAATGAATACCAAAACAAAATGTCTCTGTTGAGACACTTTCCACCCAGAGACACAAACACTTCAGAGACCATTTACAGCTTTCTATCTCAATTCAAAAGAAACATCGCTGTTAGCTGGGAAGAAACCAGACCTTAAGCTATGCTTAGAAACTGAAACCATTTAAGTGGAATCCATGAATTTGTTCCAAATGCCTAAATAATAATAATAATAATAAATAATAGTAAATCTTTGTATTAAGTAACTTACTCTCCATCTTCCTTGTACTTCTGCACCAGCTGCTCCTCGGTGGTGTGCGCAAAGCGGTAGTTATCCCTGAGGCTGTTGGCTGCTTTCATGAACTCCGAGTAAGCATCCCCAGATGCATCACCAAAAAAGCCTGCAGCAGAAAGGCAGACTGTGACCTCAAACCAACCCAGCTCTGGACCCTCTGCAAGTCTCAGCATTTTTCTCTACAATGCACTGGATCAGTCCTGAATCCAGTCCTTCAGTGCATGTTGGGGTGTTTACCTTTGACAGCTTCTCTCCCATTTCTGAAGACCTGCTTGCACCCACCCCCTCCCCCCTTTCCAGGAGCAGAAAAGTTACTCAGGAAAAGCCCAAACTGGTCATTCAGCCAAGGACAATTGTCCCCTGAACACCCAGACATGCATTGGTGATTGTGCAACAATAGTCACTGGCACTTAACAGTAAGTTTAGGAATGCTGGTTAATACTCATGTGGCTATACCTACAAGATGGCACCTGATTTGCACCATCTGCTGTTGCCACATGTAACCACAGACACCCAAGGCCAACAGCCCTCTGATGCCAGCAGAGCAACAAACGCACCCAAAGCCACCTGTTGTCAGCCAGCCAAGAAAGCAACAACCTTTGAAAAACATATACTATGGTGCCAGGGGAGCCCACAAAGCCCGATGGCCATGGGGAAAAAAAAAAAAAAAAGAAAAAAATTTGGAGAGAATACTCAAAGGTCCTCGAATCCAATCTCCCACTTGAAGCAGGACCAGCCCCAGTCAGACTAGATTGCTCAGAGCTTTGTCCAACTAAGTTGTGAAAATCTCCCAGGCTGAACATTTTAAAATCCCTCTGGATACATGTTCTAGGGCTTTATTGTTCTCATTACCAGCAGTGTTTTTGTTCATGTCCATCTGGAATTTCATCTGCTGCAGGCTGTGGTACTGCCTCTGCTCTTTCCACACAAGCTCCCAGAGCCCACTCCTTTCACCTCTACTCACCCACGACAGAAGCATCTTTATCACCAATGAACTTCTCAAACTCAGCCACAGAACTGAGAGCCACCGAAGCAGGTCCCGCCTGTTTCTTGAGATGGCTGACAATCCCATCTTGAAAGATCAGTAAAATAATTAAAGGCATCAATACCATGTTCCACAAGACATTTTTCAAGCTTCCTAAACCAGAAACTGTTCCTGCAGAATCCATACACATCTCCCATACAGTAAATATGTGAACAGAAGGACTGCTCCCGTTAGCTTCACACAGGAGCTTTCCAGCATCCTGGGAACTAGGATGTTCACCTTCACCTTTAAAGGAGAGCTTTAAACCTTCACCTTTAAAGGAGAGCTTTAAGGGCAAATAAACACCCCAAGCTTAGCTTTGCCAGCACAAAGTGTTCTGGAGAGGGTAAGGGGTTGGTGGGGGGTATGTGTAGGTGTGAACCTTCTCTGCATCCCTGGCTGTTACATGCTGCCTCCTGCAACAGCTCAGCAAACCAGACGCTGCCAAACAGTTCTTACCTGCTGTTCTGGGCCCATCATAGGTCCCTGCCTCTTCTCCATCTCGAAAAATCTTTAATGTGGGATATCCACTGACTCCATACTTGTTACAGGTGTTGGAGTTTGCTGTACAGTCAACCTAAAGGAAAAGAAACCTTGCTAGTCAGACTGAGATCCAGCCCTAACACACCCATCCCACACAAGGGACTAGAGGGATGCATCACCATGCCTGGTGCTCAACAGCCCAGACTGGGAAAGAGGTGGCACAGGTATAATGAGACGCCCAGAAAAATATTTGAGAAAATACTGCAAAAACTAAATAGTTTCAAGTTCGACCAGACTACACACCCCAAAAAATACTAGAAAGGATAGTTTCTTGCAATCAATGACATGGAATTTCTCAGCACCTTGTCACTCCCAAAGTTTATATAACATTTGAAGAAAACAGGCCGACCCGACCAGGAGGCCATGGTGCCAAGAGTCCATGCCACTAAAGGAAGAAAGAGACCCTGATTTGAGAAAACTCTACGAGTTTTGTGCAGAAAAGAAGCCCCTAGTCAGCGTGCCTCAGTGGGTCCGTGCAGCAGACCCTCGCTCTCAGCCTCATCACACAGCTCCGAGCAGGCCCATGTCCCCGGCCGGGGCAGCCCTCACACCCTCCGGGGCCCTGCACGGATCGCCTTCCACATCGTTCCAGGCCTCCGAGGCACCAAAGAAACGCCGTCCGTCAGGCCTGCAGAGCCGGGCCCCGCTGGCGGGCCGCTCCCGGGCGTGCCCCAGCGCGGGAGCCCGTGCTCACCTTCACGAGAGGCACGATCCCCTTCAGCCGGGTCGCGGCCGACTCGTACTCCGGCGCCAGCCGCTTGCAGTGTCCGCACCTAGGGGCACGGAAGGGAGTCAGACCGGCCTGGCGCCCCCCCGGGCCCGCCCCCCGCCCGCAGCGGCCCCTCACCAGGGCGCGAAGAACTCCACGAGCACCAGCCCCGGGCGCTCGGCCAGGCCACTCTCGAAATCGGCATCGCTGAGCTCCACCACGTCGGAAGCGCGAGCGCCGAGGGCGAGCATCAGGAACAGCAGCAGCGCGGCAGGCAGGGCCGGCTGCGGGGGCCGGGGCGCGGACATCGCGGCGGGAGCGGCGGGCGCGGCGCGTCCGGGAGCGGCGGGGCCGGGAGCGGCAGCTGAAGGAGCGCCGGGGCCGCAGCCGGAAGTCCGGCCCCCGCATCCGGATCTGCCGTGTGGCAGCTCCTGATTGGGCGGAACGTCACGGGGAGCATGCCAGCGGGGGCGGGGTCTGCGCGCCGGCCCCGCCCCTTCCATGGCCGCCGGTTCCCGGTGCTGGCCGGGCCGTGGCGGCGGCTGGCGGCTGTGCGCTGGGGCCCGCCCGCGATCCACGGTGCAGTCACTTCCCACCGAGCAGTGTCGCGCCGACCACAGCGCCTGCCCTTTCCCCGGCCGGGACCGGGGGCCGCGCGCTGCCGAGTCCGGTGTCGGTCTCCGGGAGCTGTGCCGAGCTGGCGGATGTGCGGTAACCCCACCGTGGCCACGGTGTCTGCACGGCGCGGAGCCGGCGCGGCGGTGGCACGTGCCCAGCACATGCCGCACGACGGCGCCGGGCTCGCTGCAGGCTCGCCTGCTGGATTCACCGCAGCCACGCATTTCCCGCTCCGACCCGGGACAGCGTGGCGTTCTCCTGGCCCCGAGCCGAACCCGGCAGCGGGTCTTTACCCCGGTACCCCATCCCTCGGCATGTGCACCTTCGGCTGGGGTCTGCAGCCAGAAGGAACTCGATCTGTGCCATCCCTGCCAGGGTGCTCGTCCCCAGGTTTGAGCAGGCACAGCCTGCTCCCACCTCGCACCACCGAGCCCCGGTCCTGCCAGGCCTGGGGCTGTCCCCGCACAAAACCCCGATTCTCACCCTCCCAGCGCCTTCCTTTGCAGCGCGCCGGGCAGCTCGGGTGGGCCTCGGGGGCAATGCATACACTGGGGACACGTTCTCGGCTCCCCGTTTCCGCCTCACCATCCGCTCTCCTCAGAGCCCCAGCGGTCCTGCCCTCACCTTGCCATCAGGTCCCTACCGCAGTTTTAGCAGCTGCTCCCAGTACCCCAGAGCTGATGACTGGGGCCAGCCCTCATCAGCTCACCTCCGGCCCGGGGGCAGCCGCCCGGGCTGTTTCTGCCGTTTTTGTCACCAATACTGAGCTGAACCAGCCAGTCGGCCCCGGGGCTGCGGGGAGAACCCGCCTGGCGTCTGTGACTTCATCGTCGCCATTGCGGCAAAGGGCCCCGGGCCCGGCCCGCTCCCGGCAGCGCAGTGCGGCCCCGGGGCCGGCAGGGGGCGCTGCCCGCCGCCCCGGCCCCCGGGCAGGATCCGCGGTCCCGGGCGGTATCCGCGGCCCCGGGCGGTGTCCGCGGCCCCGGGCAGGGTGCACGGCCCCGGGCAGGATCCGCGGCCCCGGGCGGTGTCCTCCGCCCGTGCCGGGTTCCCGTTATCAGTAATGCATCCTTTGCGGTGATGGGGCTGGCGCCGGCCCCGGATTAGCGCCCAGAACCGAGGCCAGCGGCAGTCGGCTCCGTCGCGCCGTGGGCGTCCCGCCCCGGCGGCACGGGCGGGGTGAGCAGGCAGGGCCCGGGCAGGGTCCCGTGCCGGGGAAGTGTCAGGTGTGTCACACCTTGTCTCGGCGGTCTGTGGGACGGGGGTCTCTGGGGCTGCCAGTGTCGGAGGAAGGCTGGTAGCCGTAGCGGCGGGAGCTGGAGCCGGGCTCCGGGGCCGAACTGCGGGACTTGCCGGAGCGAGCCCTGCGGTACCTCGTCTATCTCCCTCTCGCTCGCTCCTGCTGCCCACAAGACGCGGGTATGGCTGCTTTCCTTGCCAGCCCGGGAATGCTGCTTCTGCTGGTGCTGCGGGACCCCAAGCCCAGAGAGCGAGCCCGGGCTCGCGGGTGGGTGCGTGCTCGAGGGCCGGTTCTGCTCCCTCAGCTCTGGAGCCGTTCCTCGCTCCTGCGCGGGCCCGGGGAACGACCCCCAGGACTGACACCGGCTCCTGGCACCGGCTGCTGCACGGGCTCTGCTCAGCCACCAGTGGCTGGGAGCGGCCAGCCCCCGGCTGGGGGTCAGAGCTGTGCCTCAGGGCGAAGACTCCCCTTTGTCCCTGTGTCCTTACCCTTGTAGCAAGTCTGCCACCAGCCCGCTGTGGGATGCTGAGCAAGGAGCTCTGAGGGAAGGTGTGGATAGCACTGGCAGTGCAATATTGCTCTTTCCTGCAGCCTGTGCTCCAGGACCTGTTCCAGGACAGTGAAGGTGCTCCTGCCTTCGAGCTCCTGCACTGCCCGTCCGAGGCACTGCCCATCCTGGATAGGCTGGCTGCAGCCCATCCAGGATCCTGAGGAGCATGGGCCCCACTGCCTGGGTGCTCAAGACACATTTCCCACAGGAGTACCTTCATTTGCCAGAGGAGACCTTCCAGAGTGTGCTGCTCAGTGTGGGACCTGAGGCCATGCAGTGCTTCCTGGCCCTGCTGCACTGCTCCTGATACCAGCTGGGAGTGGCTGGGGTGGATGGGATGGGGCAGGGGGTTCAGAGCCCATGTGTGGTGACTGTGAAGCCTTGTGATGGGGGGAAATCGGAGTGATGCCTCCGCAGTGGGACAGGGCGCTGGGAGGTCAGTGGGGTGGTGAGTACTGGGGTAAGAAGAAGCCTGAGCCACGGCTACAGCAGCGCGTGTTTATGGGGTCTGACCTGACGCGTTGTGGGTTACAGGATGCAGCGACATGCTGGGCACAGAGATCGCACAAGCTACAGGGGGACCTGGGTCCCACAGCGCCGGCGCTGCCGCGGTCGCGCTCAGTGCCGGAACTGCGGCAGCGGCGAGGGGATGCGGATGTCCTGCCCCTTCTCCAGCCGCCGCTCACAGTCGATCAGGTAGTTCACACCATCGATCACCAGCTGCACCAGTTCCACCTGCACCAGGAGCACAGATGTGGTGACTGAGGGACTGTCCTGGGAGCCACACCACTTGGCCACTCCTGCTGCATGCAGGGTAGTCACTGCCACTCCCAGCAGCCACCCGCTGGCCCCAGCACACGGCCCTGGGGCTGCATGGGCACTGTGGGCCCGTTATGCAGGCACATTCCAGAACCTCCCTCCCCAGCTCTGTCCAGCACCCACCTCTGACTTCCCCAGACGATCCAGGTTGGAGATGTCAAAGACGCCGCCTTTGGCTGCAGTGTCCACACCACCCGTCCCACGCTTCTGTAGCCGGAGGTTCTCTAGGATCTTAGGGAAGCGGCTGTCCTGGTGCCCAGAGAAAGTGTCAGTGCTCAGCAGGACCAACAACAAGGGAGTCAGGGCTCTGTAGCCAAATGCTCCCTGGTGCAGGGCCCTGCTGCTCGCAGGGTCCTGTCAGTGGGTCACCAGCCCTACCCAGGGTCCTGCCATAAGCAGACCCAGGCTGACACCTGGGACCCAGGCCTCTCCGGCCAGGAATGCAGGCAGGGGCTGGACCCTGTGCCTCCTAGGGGAACCTGAACATGGTCCAGGGCTGGGTCCCATGTTGTCCTGCACCTTCGTTGCTGAGCTCCCCACAGTCCTAGCCTGGCTCACCACATGGTAATACCTTGCTGAGCAGTGGCAGCTTGATGTGGACGCCTGCTCGCAGCCCTGTGCCCAGGTTAGAGGGGCAGGTCAGGATGTAACCCAGCCGCTCATTCCACATGAACTCCCAGCCTCGCTCCTGGATTAGCCGCTCCACCTGAGTTAGAGGCACAAGCAGTTGTTCAGGCCTGGGCGAGGAGCACGCAGCAGAGGGCCAGCACCACAGGAGCCCCGCACGCCCCTCTTTGCCTGTTTATGGGGCTGGCACAGCAGAAGCTGTTGAACACTCACCTCCTTTAGGCCGCGGCAGAACCGCTCAAAAACGCGCTTCATGTTGCCCCCCTTCTCCATGGAGATGACACGTGTGTGGTCCTCCTCATTGATCCAGATCAAGAAGGTCTTCTGGTGGTTGTGCCTAGGGACAGAGCAGTGTTTGGCTGTGCTGTCGGCTTGCAGAGACCCTCTGCCCACACAGCTGTGCCCCTTCTGCCCCTGCCACCGTGCTACCAGTGCTGCCCTTGGCTCCCATGTGCTGACTGCACCAGGGTGCGCAGCCAGGGGATGCTCCTGGACATGGGCCAGTGCCTATCCACATGTATCACTGCTGGCTATGGGAGCTGTCTCCAGTGCCTTGGGCACAGGCAGGTGCCAGCATGGTGGTGACCCAGCCTGGAATGGGGGTGGGAGCATGGCTCCTGCACCATGCAGGCAGTGGGAGGGGGCTTGTGAGGCATGGAGTGTGCACTGGAGGGCTGGGTTAGGTGCAGCTGGAGCTGGGGACCGTGTGTGCCCTGGAGATGTTTTCCATGTAAAGCGTCAGTGTGGGTGGCATGGGCGGACAAGTGTGCCGGCTGTTGCTGTGCAGGAGTGTGGGATGTTGCATGGCTGTGCAAAGATGCTGGGAGGGAGCAGTGAGATGTGACTGTGGCAGGGTAGATTTGGTGTCACGTAGAGTGTGCAGAAGCCAGGAGGAGTGCTGGGGATTGCCCAGGGAGCAGAAGGCAAGTAGAGGTTTTTGGCAGCCTTAGAGTGCAAGGTGCTGCAGGATGGTGAGAGCAGGCAGGATTGACAGCTGGTACTGGCTCCACAGTCCCTCTTGCCAGTACTGTGCTGTGTTTGCGTAGGGAACAGTAGACTGCTGACAGTGATGCACAAGGAGCTCCCAGGTGAGGCCACAGAGCCCATGGTGAGCACAGCCCAGGGGCACTGGTGCCACGTGCTAGGGTCTGTGGCGCGGCAAACATGGGAAACGTGGGTGGCAGGGCTGAGATGGATGGAGCAGTACGTCCCCCCCATTTCTGCCCTGCTGCCCAGTGCCAGGGCAGAACCTCACCAGATCCCTCGTGCGTCAGGCCAGTCCCGAGCCATTCCTGCTGCTGTCAGGAGCGGGGACACCGGCTTGTCAAAGAGGAAGTGGTCCTGGAGGGAGGCAGAGTTCATGGGCTCACCCAGGCTGCATGGCTGGAGCCAGGGCACCCTCACTCATTCCAGTACTCCCTGTCTCACTGGTCCCACCTGCCATGCAGGAGATTCACCTCGGCTCTCCCAGGCAGGGCATCCCTTGCCTTCCTGGCCTGGGAGGCAGAAGGTTGCTGGTGCACAACCCACCCTGAGCTAGGGGCTGGTGAGGCACCAGCTGAGTGCAACAAGCCTGCCTTCCTCTGGGCATGGGTAGGGAAATGGGGGCAAGAGTCAGAGGTGGCCATGAGCTGCTGGGGCTGAGTTTGGAGAGCTCCTGGCTCATGAGGGCTGAGCAGCACTGTGCTGTTGGGCTGCCTTGCTAGGGCAGGGCTCCCGGTTGAAGACAGCAGAGCTGTAGAAAGAGGCTGCAACCTCCCCGAGAGGCAGTGCCAGGAAGGGGTCCTGCCCTGCATGCACCCGGGGGTGGTCGGGAGCTGCGCTGACTCACGTCAATGAGCTGCTGTTGCTCGCTCTCGGTCATCTCGCTGAGGCGGTAGTACCGGCCCGCCAGGTCGCCCGTGAGGCCGCTCAGCGCGTCCACAGCCACCTTCTCCACCTCTCGTCTCTCGGCACGGGTGCAGGCTGGCGGCAGGCTCAGGCCACGGATGCTGCGCCCAGTCCGGACCCGGGACGAGAGCACATAGCGCTCATCAAACTGGCCAAACTTGATCTGGAACAGACAGGAGCCACAGGATGTTCATGGGGTGGCCCTGGGGCCGTCAGGGCCCTACCCCAAGGCCCAAGGAAGGACACCCGCATGCAGCACCACTGTCCAGCTTCTGCACCTTTGTGCAATCCAGGTCTGTGACGTGCTTCATGGTGCGGGGGTTGTATCCGTTGTGCCGCTCCTGAATCACGGGGTCAAACAGGTCGGCAAACACCTGGAAGCAAGTGGGACAATGTAGAGCAAACCCAGGGCTTCATGAAGCCCCTGCCACAAGCCTGGCTGGGCCACACTGCCAGTGTGGGGGACAGTGTGTCCTGCAGTGCAACA